CCATTCGTAGACGTCTTCTTGGAAGTCGACGTCCAGTGGACCCGGTACCGCGCGGAGGTTGGAACATGACCGGGTGGTGGTGGTGGTTGTTGTTGCTGTTGTTGTTGTTGTACTAGCTTACTCCCTTAACCTAGTTTGCCAGCAATACATGTTATAGAAAAAATTCTATAACAGAGCCCTGTCGGACACCAGACCGGATATCGAGCCGCTCGATAAAGCCTCCGCTCAACATGCCGGTTTGGCCTGGCGCAACATTGCAGCCCATCCTGGTAGGTTGGTCATATTTGATAGTACTCCAATCTGAAGTAATGCCTGTAGACTTTTCTACCAAACATTTATTTACATTATTAACTTTTAAACCTTCGCTGCAGGCCTCTACGGTAAGGACAAGGACTTTGTGCCCATTTTCATCACCGTCGATCCTGAGCGTGATACCCCCGAGGTCGTTGGTGAATACTGCAAAGGTAATTGCTCTCCCCATCCTACAACTTATCTTACTAGTCTGTCTAAAAGCTGTAGTTCGCTTTTAGCCACGACAAGCACTTCTCCCACCTCTACTCTCTTTGACCTTTTGACTCTACCTTTTCCTTTGAAGAATTCTCCCCCAAGCTGGTTGGTCTCACTGGCTCTCGTGAACAAATCAACATTGTTGCGAAACGATACCACATCTATCACAGCCAGGGTCCCAAAGACTCCGACGGAGACTATATTGTGAGTGAAGTTAATCTTCTTTTTCAGCCTATAGGCGTCGGCTGCCGACTTAAATGGTTTTCTAAGTTGATCTAAGTTCGTTTTTTGCCTGTTGGTTTCCGGTAATCTATAAGAAGCGTTTTGCGTGAATGGAGTGATTGGTTTCGGCATTTTTGCTCGTCCAGTAGAGAAGACCCAGGATTTAAATCCAAGTCAGGTCTCTGCCGGCCGAACCAAAACAACGTGCTGTGGATGCTTGCTCTGCTAGCCACAACAGAGGCTATTTTGTCATGCAGGAGATTCAGCAGAAGTAGATGCGATTGTTAGAACAAGACCTCGATTCGGCTTCATGCTGGAAACCCATCATGAGATACAGATTATTCCTGAACAGAGGATTGCAGTACTTGCTACTTTGGCGCATGTCTGTGACAATTAACGGCTTCGCTTTTCATCGCGGCTGGTTTTCCCCTGGTGCGCTAATTGCTTGATGGTCAGCACATTCGTGTAGTTAATC